TTCGGAGGCGGAGGTGGTGTAGTGACAAGTGGCGCGCTCACCACTCGCGCGGTCCTGGGTTCGAATCCCAGGTCGACACCCGCCCAGGCCAACCAAGCCTTCTACCCTCCGGGGACGGTAAATTGGTACCAGATTCGTCTGGGAGGATAAAACACTGACTTGTACATCGGCTGGCCCCCGCAAGTCATTGTATAGGCCACATCGCATTCAGTAAGCCACTACGATTCTGAATGGAAGTAGAATGCGTGCCGCATCCCACAAAGGGATTGATTAACGGCGAAGACTTTATCCTTTTATCCTTTTATTATTCTCGTTCGATTGTATGGTAGGGGGGGGGGCATTTGCACTTCGCTGCGTTGACCTTAGCTTCCCGTATACAAGTCTCACTCTGATTAAAACTGTGAACTCTTGTGAATCTGGAGCAAGCTCGTCTAGCCACCAAGTGCAAAATGCCCCCCTCCTGTCGCCAATGATAGAACCTGTCAGCTCTTGTAAGCTCACGAAATGGCTCTCTAGATGGGTCGACACGTCGATGGGAAGTAGCAAAAGTGCAAAATGCCCCCCCCCCTCCCCTGTCGCCGAACTGTCCCGTATTTTGGAACTGAAAAGGACGAACTCACAAGCTCGTGGCTGTAGTACTTTGATATTGACGAGGTTCTCGATTTCCTTCTTGAAATGAGTGAATTGTGGTGGCTGTCCATCGCCAACGATTGTCGCCACATCAATGGAATCGAATGCCGAATCCGCATAGAATAAGCTGGAAAGGATGGCTTTTGATCGGACAATTCCGCTCTCAATAAAGATTCATGACAAACAAACCGGTCACTGAAGAATGCAATGCCGTTTGGTTGTTTCCCGGCATCGTTAAGGATATAGTGGCGATCTTGACCATCGTAGGTTACAGATGAGATCTGTAAAGTGCAGCCATTAGACCACTCTCAAGACTGACGGGTAGCTGCTACAAAGGATACATTCCGCGATAACATGATGGGCGGGGACAGGAAACCGCTGTGCTTCCCTTGCTGGTGCGCCCCTCCTATTTAGCTTCTTACACGAAGGGAATAGCACAGCAATGGGGAACACAGCAGCTGATTCTCTCCTCCCCTATCATCAGCGCGGACGGTGCTTTCTAGCAGCATCGCATCACAAGTAGATAACCAATGGAAGACCTTTTCCGGCGACTTGCTCTTTTTTTCTTTTTTTTCTTTTTTTCCGTTACTTCTTGGCAAATAGTAAATGTCGATTCCTTAACTTAAAACTCACTCTTCCAGCTTTCGCTTCACTGAAGTAGACCCTCTGGTTTGTGGTGTCAAGAGTGATATGATCCAGTTCAGTCAAGTCATTACTAGCAATGACCAGAGGACTTGTACCGTCCAAATTAGCTCTGGCGACTTTAACGTCAGCGGCACCACCACCTCTGGAACAGATTCAGTACGATACAGTATTTCAAATATTTGCTTACTTAGGAAATATTTAGGTCCTACCTGTCCAACCAGAAGAGTAGACCTCTGTCTGAGTCAACTGCAATTGATACCGGTGTCACCACGGCTGTTGGCGTCTGATCATTCGACAGCACTACGGCACGGAACTGAAAACGGTTATTCTGAGCTTTTAGCTTACTGGTTTCGATTGGGCGTTCTGTGAACTACTTTTTTAATTTCAAAACTAAAACTCGAAACCTATCTGTAACTGGCACTGTCGGATTAGGGGGGAAGGAGGGGATTTTTCGAGTTTGCTGGTTTCCCTTACTAATTCTGGTTGACTTGCACGTCACCTCGGTGAAACCTGTAGCTTTTTCAAGTGCAAATGAGGCTCGTGCTATTGAACAACATTCCAGGAGTTCACAGGCTTCCAAAGTATTAGTAATGATCAATGAGAACCAGCAAATGCCCCTCCCCCTGAGACGCATTGCGCCCACGAGTTCGCTGAGTTACGGGAAAAAACGCCTTCGTCCCATTTGAGACTTGAACGCAAACCTTGTGGCAAACGCTCAACGGCAGGCTATCTTTCGGCGCATATCCCGCCCACTGTGGGCGGGCTCAGCACAGCTTACAGGTGTTCTTTACATCTTTCCCTTTGCCCTACCCATCCCGACTCCACCTCTCCAAGTTGTTCTGGTAACCAAATTTCAGGACAAACAAGCAATCAAACGAACAAACAAAAAACAAAGAAACAGACGCAACAATATATGTACTTATTTATTTATTTGTTTATTTATAGCGGGTGATGAACTATCAGTACCTGTGTTCCTACAGTGCGAACCACTTCGATCGTTTGCGATATCTTGTTTCCAACGTATAGATTACGACCATTCCAGTCGAATGCCATACAGTACGGATCATCTGGGATTTGTGACGAGTACAGTTGGGTCTGTAAATAGAAAAAAATAGAGAAAAATATCTTGTAAGTAATTCAGGGGTTTTCTGGATCAGCTTGACCTTGTTCGAAGCATTGATCGACGATCTGTATATGGCAGCATCCGTGGAGATCTGAGTCAGAGTTCGAGCGATGTTGGTATGCTCCAGCACAAAGAGCTGAACAAAAAACAAATCAAATAAAAGGAAAGTGAATAAAGCAGTTTGGATTAAAATTAATGTAAATTGTAAGAACATGAAAAAATAAATAAAGATATAATACAACTCATCCATTTGAGAATTCAGGGAGATGGTATGTAGTATGAACATTGGTAAGGGAGAGTTGGATCAGAGGAGAAAATTCTGCGGGAGGGGTCGCATTTTGCAAAATTTTCATAACGGAAAGTTCCTGTCCCGTTCCCATGTCACTACCGAGGTTATGAAGTGCCGCTCAGCGTATTTAGCGTATGATATTCAGCAGTTAATGGGTACTAGAGGCAGAGATGTGGTGTGGTAGTAAAAGGCACGCTTATCGCGCACACGTTCCGAGGATCAGCTCCTCGCCCCGCCCAAGACAACCAAACCTTTTACTTTCCAGGGATGGTAAACTGGTTCCAAGTTCGTCTGGGAGGACCCCCGCAACCCGTTGTATAGGCCACATCGCATTAGAATACGTGCCGCATCCCAAAATGGGATTAATTATCGGCGAGAATTCCATCCTTATCCTTAACAGGTTATGTAGGTATTTCTGGTGTTGAAGCTTCCACGCTTTCTGGGTACAAGGAAAAGAAAGATGTGAGGCTACTGAGGGCTATAGATACCCGGTAACAATTTCCAGTCCCGAGGACGACGAAATCAAGAAACCCTCCTCTCTCAGGGATAACTCAGCGGGGTTGGTCCCGAGGTCCAGGAAAAGTTATTGGACCAAACACCAGCTGCTCCCTACATGTCACGCTTTGCTCTTTTCCATGTATGCTTTCAAATCACTTGATTCCTAAGGCAAGACATGTACATGGCGCATCCAACATAATTAATGATTCGTTTTCAGTATGCTTTTAATATGACATAGGTGACGATGACGACTCACATCTCCAGATTCGGCATCATATCCTGCATCGAAGGCGTTCGCCAAGCCAGCTAGTGGAATCATACCGGCTAGTGATGGGACACTGTTCGCTCTGAAAACCCGACGAGTCACTTGCAACCAACAAAAAATTAATTTTGGAAAATTTTCAAAACTCAAAAAATACGGATGAGTTCGTCAGTTTCGGATGCATGTGGCATAACTTCTGGCAAACTTACTGGGTGGTCATTTCGACGCCGAACACGTTGTTCTTCTGGATGAGCAGCAGGAATGGCCTCTGATCCACCACGCAGTTCTTGCCGGAAGTGTCTAGACGCTTGCCCATAGGACAACCGCAAGAGAAGCTCTATAATAATTGAGTCATTTCATCGGTGATGCCAAGTGGAAACTGCACGAACAAACCGATGCGGAGAGTAGGCAGATGTGCGAGCATGGACTGCCTGCACAAGGATTCTTTGCGACCTTCGGCTGGAGGACAGGATGAACGGCAGCTACTCCGAGAGCCTGAAAAGGCATGTTTATATTTAACGTCCAGAACAGCTTCCTCAAGGCTATACTGCCCCTTTCTAACGGTTTCAGGCAGAGGCTCAAAAAAGCAGCAATAAAAATGAGAAAGGAGTTTACCTTGCTGAATGTATGGCTCGGGTATTCGCCAGTAGTACCGTTTGGATACTTTGGATACACTTGGAGTCGTTGAAGACGGCGATCGGAATAGTACATGTTGTCCTCGAAAATGGCCTAACGCATGCGGATGTTGGACGAATTTCGAGGACGCAAGTACTTGGGTTCTGCCTGAAAGGATCACAGTCACACTGGAATTGGAGCACCAGCAAAGAGCGCAAAGAGTGTGGAAGCCTTTGGGTAGCGGTTTACTTCCACCATTTCACAGCTTCTAAAAGATTACAGGTCTCTCAAAGTATAAGCTGTTAGTTAACATCAAAAAGCAAAACGAACTAACGAAGGTGCTAAATGCCCCTCCCATGCCGGACAGCGTCGGAAAAAGTTTATATGAGCTCCATCGGGATGCCCCGTAGGGAAGTAAAGAAAAAATCTCTCTGTAACTGAACGACATGACGGGTCTCTTTAACCATTAGTAGCGATTTGACGGTTTCGGAGTTTCAGGAATAATAACCAAATAAAAAGGCACAGCTTCATGTCCCTATCATGGGCGGAACCGGGCTTACAGTTGTGCTTTTCTCGTTTGTGTTCCTCTCCTTTCCAATACGCTCGGTGTCCCCCTCCTTTCTAGCACAGTCGAAAATTACGTCAACATGGCTGAGCACGCCCTGATGACCGGTGTGAACTGCACTCTCAGAGTTGTCCTGTGATCCAGTCCGGCCAAGCTTTGAAATGCCTTTTGAACAGACTCAACAATACCAAAGAAGGTTGTGAAAGATTCTTCAAAGGAAAGTTTTCTTCACTGGACGGGCACCGTGGTGGAAAGTAGGGGCAACAAGGGTGTTTATAGGCTCAACTCGGCCATATAACAGACTCTGCGTGCCATGGTGGACGGTGCAATCAATCAAGTGTTCTCTAGACCAGAAGGTTCGTCCTATTTCATACCTCTACCGTCCCGTACAGCGTATTGTGCTGGACTAGAATAGAAAGGCCAAATTGTGAGGCCATACAGTCATTACCTCCCACAAAAGAGGATTTTCCACCAACTAATGCCAATCTGACCTTGCAAGAATCAGTGGATAAGGATTCCGTGGCACCATTCCACCCCACCCATCACTAGTCGTGACTGGGTGAAGAGCGCACAGCTCTCCTCGGAATTAAAGCGTTTCTCTTTGTGTTGCAATTCGTACCTGTTCCATCGTAGTTGACAAAATCGATGTAGTCGAGTTTCGAGTCGGCAAAGTAGACTCGATCTGTCGTCAGGTCAAGAGCGATTGTATTCGGCCAGTAGATTTTCGTATTAACGATGATCTTGCGGTCAGTTCCATCCATGTTCGCTCTTTCAATGTGTGGGATTCTAAACGAATCAATGTTTAGCTCCAGTTCTAGATCTTGTGGCCTTCTGATTCGTGTGTGCCTTCGAGGTTGTTAGGATGGAACATTTATTCACGGGCCCTAACCAACGTTTCGACCAGATCGTCGTCCTCGGAGGCCTGAACATAGCTCAAGGTTTCTAATTTGCTTTCTAAACCGTCAAACGCCTCGTCCCCCTAGCGTTTCTGACAAAACTTCTAGGAACAACCGAAAATATCCCGTATGTATAACCAACTCACCAAGTCCACCGCGGTAGGAGCGGAAGAAGCCGCCCAGTCAGTTGTTAGTAGTATTTGTGAGACTTACTGTGCTGTCCTTACATATAGTAATTATATTCAAGACTTGCACGTCTCACTGCTTACAGTAGCTGGCAGTGCGGTGAAAATGGCAAGAGATCATTTGTTATGGATAAACACTCATTACGGTTGTTCATTCTAGGATTCCTAGCAGAAATCCAGAAATGCCTCCAGCGCTTTCCTGGCGGAAACCTCAGTCTCGTACGCTAAAATTCTGCACTTCACATCATAGTCGGTTCCGCAATGCTTCTTCGCATGGCGGGAGATGCCTGCCCAACGGTGTTGTTAGTTTACCACGCCTTTTACCAGCAAGATGTTCCTTGATGCGCGTTGCTAGCGCCCTTCCAGTCTCCCCAATGTATGTTGCATTACACGTCTGGCATTCAAGTTGGTAGATCACACCAACTTTGGCGCAATCTCCTATTCTACCATTAGGACATACAATTGCAATTGGTCTGCTTATCGTAGAGTCTATTTCGTACAAGCTGGCGCCTGATGTTGTCATTGGGAATGTTCACCAAGACAACATCATTGGTCAGCTGTGCACGAGCCAGACATCTTTGAATTGCAGCAGTTATATTATCAGATATGAACGGTATACATAGGGGGATCTGAGATGTTCACGGTGGTAACGGTTCGGGCGCCTTCAGTGTGGTTCTTCTCCGGGGAGCATGTGGAAGAGCATAGCCATTTGAAGCAGCTATATCAGCAGCCAGTCGTATAGATTCTTGCCGTTCTGTCACTCCGGTGCATACGTTTGCAGCTGTCTACCTTAGAATACATGATTTTAACACAGCTGCACTGCTTCAACCCGAAAGGATCCCAGGATGGACTGGCCGACTCGAATTCTCAAGATGTTCTTGGAGCTTGCTTTCCTGTACCACTTCACACTAAGCATACCATCGGAAACCTTCACCTGCGTGTTCAAATAGGGGAGCCAACCATCCTCGCCGGCGACTTCTCGCTGCTGAGCTCGCCTATTAACTTGCTACTGCGACTGCTGCATCTCATCAGGCCGGTGAAACATTCCATCCATTTCGCGACAAAAAGTCAAAACGTTAGAAAACGCTTACCGTTAATGTACTGCAGGTACATAGATGACTGCTTCATTGTAACATCGACACAGTCCGAAATGGATGAGTGTTACCGCCTGATGAATCAGCAGTCGCAGTACATTAAGCTCACACGAGAAGTCCCGCGAGATGGTTGGCTCCCCTATTTGAACACTCAGGTGAAGGTTTCCGATGTGGTCATGCTTAGTGTGAAGTGGTACAGGAAAGCAAGCTCCAAGAACATCTTGATTCATGCCACATCTGCACATCCTTCCGGGTTGAAGAGTGCAGTTGTTAAAAACATGTTCAAGACAGCTGCAAACGTATGCACCGGAGTGACAGAACGGCAAGAATCTACTCACCGACTGGCTGCTGATATAGCTGGCTTGCAAATGGGCGTATGGACTCTTCCAACACTGTCCACAGCACAGAACACACACATGAGCGCGGCCGCGAAACCGTACACGTGAACTCAACGGATACCACTACTGTTACCGTTTCAGTAGCTGACTAATATTACGCTTCGCAATCTTCAAAGAGTCTCGGCTCGTGCACGCGTCACCAATGATGTCTCTCTTGGTGAGACCATTCCCAATTGGACACATCAGGTCGGCCAGGCCTCTCGTAGCGAAATAGACATCTATATGATCAGCCATTGCACTGAGGTCCATAATGGTCAGTAATAGACGATTGCGCCAAGTTGGTGTGAGTCCTACCACACTGTGAAATGCCAGGCGTGTAATGCAAACATACCATTCGGCGCCGGGGAGACTGGAAGGGCGCTAGCAACGCGCATCAAGGAACATCTTGCTGGTAAAAGGCGTGGTAAACTAACAACACCGTTGGGCAGGCATCTGATCGAAGAGCATTGCGGAACCGACTATGATGTGAAGTGCAGAATTTTAGCGTACGAGACTGAGGTTTCCGCCAGGAAAGCGCTGGAGGCATTCTGGATTTCTGCTAGGAATCCTAGAATGAACAACCGTAATGAGTGTTTATCCATAACAAATGATCTCTTGCCATTTTCACCGCACTGCCAGCTACTGTAAGCAGTGAGACGTGCAAGTCTTGAATATAATTACTATATGTAAGGACAGCACAGTAAGTCTCACACACATACTATAACACTGACTGGGCGGCTTCTTCCGCTCCTACCGCGGTGGACTTGGTGAGTTGGTTATACATACGGGATATTTTCGGTTGTTCCTAGAAGTTTTGTCAGAAACGCTAGGCGCGGGACACGCGTTTTTTTGACGGTTTAGAAAGCAAATTAGAAACCTTGAGCTATGTTCAGGCCTCCGAGGACGACGATCTGGTCGAAACGTTAGGCCGTTAATAAATAGTTCCACCTAACAACCTCGAAGGCACAAAAGAATCAAGAAGCACAATTAACAACGAGTGGCCGGGTTCTATGAGAGAGAAGTTGGAATCCGTTAAATAAGGTAAAGCGCTCTCTGAAAACATACCGGCCGGGCGAGAAAAGAGGTCCATTCTCACCATCGAATCGGCCACGTCTTGCAACCATTACCTGATCCCCACGTCACGGTCCCAGAAACATCAGTCCTTTCCCGTGGACATGCTACTGCGATTCCCACGACCGTTGGTGATGTTTTCCATGAACAGAAGACACGGCCTGAGGGATTCTCGAGATTTGCTGCCTAAAAGACGTTGACCTGTTTGCGATCACGAGCGTACAGTAGGTCTATCCGACAGTATGGGCAATAACGTTACAGGCCTTGAGAGCAACACGAGAGTCGCAGTAACAAGCCTACGAAACGTCCAAGCTACCTCAATGGTGTTGAGACTCGAATCCACCCAGTACAGATTTCGACCGATCCAGTCGAGAGCGATGCCTTCAGTGATGTCCAAACCGTCTCCAATGAATGTCGTCACATTTGTGCCATTTCGTGTGGCAGAGAAGATCTTTTTCTCGCGGATATCGGACCTAAAAGACGACTGGGTCGGTTGTTACAGAAACCGCGGTAATGAGGAGCAACGAGGAAAGCAGGGACTCAAGAGTCACAACGTGAGTAAGAAGTCAATTTCTTGATATGTTTCTGAAAGAAGCGTGTTGGCAAAACGCGGATACATATATTCTATTGAGTGAATTTTAATCAAGATAAAGCTCACTCTAACCATCAGGAATATGGGCGTCCGGGCAAGTGAAGGGCCCTTCTTCCTCGCTCTAGACTTCGGGAGAGCTAGCGCGTTCGGCACATCAGATCATGCGAGTGATGTGAACGACACGCCGCTATACTCCCTGGTCAACCGATGTTCCCTCGCTGCGACGAGGTCCAACAAGTATTGCTCACTGATCTGCTCCTTTTTTCTTCCTCCCACTTCCTTTTCTCCCTTCCTTCTCGCTTCCCCTCTTCCTTTCTTCGACGAATGAGAACTAGTAAAAGTGCGAAGTGCCCTCCCAAGTTGAACAGTGTTCAGTTCTATATGGGACCTTTCTGGATGTGTGTGCAGTTTGCAATTAAACTTATTGATGCTTTTTAGCGCGAAGGGATGGCCCGCGCAGGCGGCAAACATGCCCGTAGCCTAACACGGATTTTTCAATAGTGCTTGCGCAAGACCACGGTCTCCGGCCGTGTCAACTTGAACTCAATGACACTGGCCACTAGACTCTGTCTCTGACACGAATCATCGGGCTTGGTGCACTTCACCTAATCCCCAAAACTAGACTTACAATGGGCGTGCCACTTTACCTTTTTGACCTTTTATGCTTTTCGTAAGTCGTGCCGGGACTAACAACCCCGGCACGATTTATGAACAACGTAATCTGAGCACTAAGCAATCTTGAAAGCCACGCTACTTACCAGAAAATCCTGTCTGTAACACTGTCCCAAGCGATAGCGATGGCGTTCTCCACATTAGCAGCGAATGTTCGCCAATTATCCAAGTGACTGTCACTCCAATAGATCCTGGAAAACCTCTGTGCTACACGGGAATATTTGAAAAATTCATGAAAATTATAACAACTTCCGAGCTGCAAAACGACAGAATTAATTGCTTTGGCACAATCGCATTCAAATGTACGATTCGGAATGGAAGACGGATGCGCGGTGCACCCCTACCTATCCCTTTTTTCAAATTTCGATTGGTAGAGCATCTGCTAAACTGTCTGAGCCAAAAGAACTTGTCAACGAACCTATTTCGATTAGAGATGTAGACACGCATATCTTGAGCACCTTCAGTGACCTTGCATGTTCGTTTGTCGGCATCAAGTTCGTATCCTTCCTCACAGCTGAAATAACCGCTTGAATTATGGTTTTGCAATCTAGTGCCTGCCACCCAGAAATTTCATCCGATAGGTGCTGCCTTAAACGCACATTTCACGTTGGTCAAATGGGCGGGGTCAGCTCAGTTAGTGTGCTTTCCTCGTTGGTCCACTTCTTCACCGAATAAGGAGCATAGCTAACGAGAAAAGCGCAACACATAGCTGACACTGTCCTCTTCTCTGCTAGCGTGGACTATGCCTAGAGAACTGCACAAAAGTACCGAGTAAGACGGTCACCTGCAAGTGAAGCCATGCTTTTCGTCGGTGCACTTTTGTGAGCACGAGCTTGCATCGAGACATTCGTTTTCCGGCTCACATCTCGTTTTGTTCACCAACTGAAAATATCGTCTCTAATTCCAGAATTATTTTGATAGCCCGAACTACAGTACCTGTTCGCCGAAAGGACAACTGCAAAGTGGTCCGTTGGGGCTGTTATGACACTTGTACGCACAATCAGCTCGATCCGCTGAGCAAAGATCACGAGCGCACCTGAAACGGTAACCAGTAATTAGAAAAACGGTCAGGATAGCTCGAACTGCACAAAAATGTGCAGAAGTGCATATCTTCATCGCCTATTGAGGGGTGACTTGTTGTTGGTGCGCTGGTAGTTCACTTGTAATAACTTGTAATTGACGCCACAGAACACAATTAATTGACGTAATCTGCACTCAAAACCCTGAGATGCGGTGGGCGTGGCTACGTACCTCCTATGAATGTGGCTGTCTGCTGTTTTGATGGAATAATTTTACTCCGGGATCCTTCTAAAGTTGTTATCCCCGAAATTATACGGACGGGTCAGCGGAGTGCGGGATTTGGCGTCACTCATTGAGTACCCGCAGATACAACGATCGATGCTAAACGAACTTGTCCTGCCCTGCAGACACTCCCCTGCTGACTTGGCTGATAACAACTGCAATCATGTCTTTGTAAAAGACAAGGCACCGTTGTCACGAATTGAATCCCCCCTTTAACCTATCCAACGCCATGTTCAAATGAAAAACGCAGTCATGCCTACCGCGTTCGGAGAATGTCTTCTTATGTAGAGTGTTTCTTAAGAGCTAGGGTACTCTGTAGCGCACCTGTAGGCGCTATTCGGCTCGGAGGGGCAATGCACACTTTCGCTGGCTTACTTGTTAGTTCATGTTGAATAGCAGGTCTCACTTTGGTTAAACCTGTAAAATTCTGTGAAGCCGCGGAATGGGGCAGCTTTGACTACTTTACTTTATAGGTGTTCCCAAGGGAGCCTGTTCAAGCTCAACTGAGTACTAATCGGTGCCCATACTAAGTCGACCTGCATCCACTACTGTACATTAAAGCCGATGATATATTAGATACGAAATCTGAGAAAAAAAATGGCTGAAAAATTGAATATCGTTACCTGCCACCTTCGTCAGTACCGCCGGGACATTGTTCCTTACCATCGCACAGCTCGGTAAGTGGTATGCATACGTCCGGAGCTCCCTCGCAGGCCACCTAGAATCCAATACATGAGCGTAAAAATTTTACTGTGATTATTGGCCTGAACCTACCTGCTCGAATGGACAACGTCTGGATATCTCCGACTTTTTACATCCGTTCATGGCCGATTCGTCTGAGCCGTCGCCACAGTCATTTTCACCATCACAGAGCCATGACTGAAATGTTGCGGACTGCTGTCAATTCAACAATTCAAACCAAAATCGTTACAGAATTGGATAAAAATCATAAAAAAATTAATATAGTGACTGTTTCTAAACATGAGCCACGTTCAAAAAGCTTGGATTGGCTCCATTGGAATATTAGAGCTTTCAGGTCGAGCCAGTACATTTGGTAGAGTTGCTTAGAGCCCTCGCAGGGCGCAGTTCGGCGACGGGGAGGGGGGCATTTTGCACTTTCACTGCTTCACTACTTCCGGTTTACAAGTCTCACTCTGGTGAAACTTGTGAACTCTTGTGAAGCTGGAGCAAGCTCGTCTAGCCACCATGGTAAAACGTGTCAACTCAAGAAAAGGCTATCTAGATGGGTCGACACATCGATGGGAAGCAAAATGCCCCCCGTCGCCGAACTGCCCCCTCACAGAGCTCAGAGGTTCAAATCTGAACATGCAGTAAGCCACTTTAGAGGTTCATTTCTTGCACCTCAACTCAAATTGCTGTAAAATGCAAATTGCCGATGTGGACAATTGCTGCCCTACACAGTCGTTATCACTGAGGTAATCGGTACGTGCCAGCGGAATGTGGGTTTTCACATGTGACACCAGCCCCTTTTCCAAAAAACATTATAACTCTAATAATATTTCCATCAATCGAGGCGTCTTCGGGGTTTAATGAGTGTGGGAAAGCTGGCGCCGTGTCAAAACCCACGTCCACTGAAGTGCCCCCCCCATTACTTCAGTGATAAGAATGTCCTATGAAACGAATATGTTGAGAAATGCCTGAACCGCTCTTCCATAATTTAGCTTTAGGGGTAATATAACGTCAACCACTCGTCGCTCCTGAAGAGAAAGTCCACGCTTATAATATGGGCGGAATCGGGCCTATGTACGTATATATGTACCTTACCCAGCAAGAAAGCAACAGTCTAGGTCACCGCTGTTTTTGGCAGTCTCTGGGAAATACATGTGGGCGCTGTTGGCTTGGAAGGGAATCTTGCACCATCGT